TCTTTACATCTAATATCTGAATGGCCCTCCAGTGTGTAGCAGAATGCGTGTTGCTGCTGTTGTTTGTTAAGCTAGTTAGCGTAGCCTCCCAGAATACGTGCGGTGCCTCAGCTGTTTTTTTTGGTTCCGGGTTCAGACGTCACAGCCTGTTGTCTCCTACGTGAGCGCAGAAAACATTATATTTCCCACAATTTAAGCTTCTGCATTTTCCAAATGCACTAGTATTATTCAAACGTATTGTTTGTTTCGTAAGCCTCGTACCAAACAGTTTAATACGAATACTTGTATTGTTACACCATAGAAACGAATAATAAGCGTAGCTGTGGCGCCATCATGTGGTTATAAGGTGGTATTTCAGCTGCTGGACAACAGTGAAGGCCCAGGTATAAAATGCACGGCCTGCCACTGGGTTCAAGTCCTGGTTCAGACTGAGTGTTGGTCTTTCTGATCTGTCATGTCCCATGTGGTTCATGTCCTGGTTCAGACTGAGTGTTGGGGTTTGGGAGGACCGGGCGGTTCTGGCTCAGCTGAAACAGAAGCTGCAGACAGAAGACGGACGGCTCATCCTCCGGATCGAACAGGAGGAGTGGAAGGTAATGTTCCCGACAGGTGAAGTGGACTCTGTGCAACGTGGACTTGATGTTACGTTGTGGTCATATCTTCATTTTGCTCTCCTTCCTCAAGACGTTGCCGGGCTGTCTGGTCCAGCTCAGTCAGGTCCATGAGTGGCAAATCCACCGGACCGGACTGCAGAAGATCCCTCACTTCATCACCAGATTCCAGAATCTTTTAGTTCTAGATCTGTCCCGCAACGGGGTCACAGAGATCCCCAGAGAGATCGGTCAGTACGTCCTCCACTTCTACTAAAGATAAAAAATCATTATTACATTGTTACTGGAACACAGATTTGAGGATTGTAGACCTGTTTCCTGTCCTCTAGTACAGTTCTGTCTCTGTGAACTCTTTTGATCTGGTTCTGGTCTCAGGGAAGCTGACTCGGCTCAGAGAGCTCCTGCTGAGCTACAACAGAATCCAGTTTGTTCCTGAAGAATTGAGCAGCTGTGAGAGTCTGGAGAGACTGGAGCTGGCCATGAACCGGGACCTGAACCAGCTACCAGACCAGGTACTACCTCATTCAGGTTCCAAAGAACCAGGTCCTGTAGACCTGTATTCATGAACCCATTAAGATCCAGCTGATCTGAGGTCTGTTCTCTGAACCACAGTTCAGGAACCTGAAGAAGCTGCAGCACCTGGACTTGTCCATGAACGACTTCACCTGCATGCCGGACTGCGTGGTCGGACTGCCGGTGCTCCAGTGGCTCGACATGGGAGGAAACAGACTGCAGCACTTACCTGAAGACATACACAGGTGGGGGAAAGAATGATCTGATGCCCCGCCCCCTTCTGCCATCAGCCAATGAACACTGAGGTCCGTTTGTCCTCAGGATGGAGACACTGCACACTCTGTGGCTGCAGAGGAACCAACTCGAGAAACTTCCAGATAACATCAGCAGCATGAAGAGTCTGGACACGCTGGTCCTCAGCAGCAACAGACTCACAGACATCCCCCCACTGATGGAGGACATGTCCAACCTCAGGTCAGTCTGTCTGTCTCTCTGTCTTCAGGTCTGTCTGTCTTCAGGTCCGTCCTCACACACAGAAGCAGATAATATTCATATTTGTAGTATTACACAGTTAAAACCATCAATCGTCTCTCAGACTCAGCAGATGTTTCTGTTTCTGTTGAAGCAGGTTTGTGAATTTCCGGGACAACCCTCTGTCTCTCGACGTGAGGCTGTCCTGCAGGAAGACGAAGGCCGAGGACGACGAGGACGACAGAGAGATGTTTGGACGAGAGTTCATGCAGCTTTACATCCAGGAGTCCAGAAAGAGAGCTGTGCTCAACATGCACTGAGTCCACTGTTAGTATCACTTCATGAGCCCTGTTCTTTGTGTCATCTATATATACTAGTGCTGGGCAACTTAACGCGTTATTATTGCGTTAACGCATTCATTCATGAACCCCGACAATTATTTTATCGCGCGTTAATGCAGTTTTTAAAAAAATGCAGCACACACCGTTGCTGCAGCAAATCACCCAAACAAACAGTGGAGGAAGTCTTCAGACTCCGTTGAACTGTTCCGTGTCGCCCGTATCCTGTGCTCATGGCCGAACTCAGTGCGACAGAACGGCGGATCCGCCCCGGAGTCGACTGCTAACTGGGAAGCTAACAGATGCTACAGAGAAGTGGAGACAAACTGCAGGTTAGTGTTGTGGAAGATGTTGGTCTGAAGAACGTTCTCAAGGTGTGTTCACGTGTGTTTGGTGTGAACGCACCTTTAGGATTTCAACGAATGACGTCACGTATGAGCCTCAAGACACACCGTCACCAGAAGAACACACGAGTTGTATTAAAGGAGAGGACGACTAAAGCGATGCCTTACAACGTGCAGCAGCTGCTGCTCTCACTGGAGACTACTGGACATCGCTGGGTCACCTTCATCACCTCTGAGTTACAGCATCGTAGTGATGAA